ATGTTACCATATATAAGCCTTTAAATCTACATTTGGTATCCCATATCATTTCACTCAGAACGACAACTTCTCTGATGTGTGTTATTAGACATCTGAAGTAAGGCTCCTTGCTTTTACTTGAAGCGTGATTCAATTTCCAAAGTCTTACTTTCTTAAAAACAAGCGTAAAACAATTTTTCTTTCACATGCAATTCTTGCAGTATTTCCTCTAGCCCAGCATTCCAAACTGTTGAGTTCCAAATCTTGCAAGAAACCACTTTAATTTACAGTTATAGACCATGTTAAATGTGCCAATATTTTCCCAGGCTCCAAGTGCCTAAATCTATCAAAAAGAAACATATGTGCGACTACAGGAAAACATTTTTCATTGAGGCACATTGAAGTTTGCAGTTACTTTAATGGTTAAGCTTAAAATAGAAGGTGATTCAACATATCACAATGCAAGTCAATTCTGAATTTAGAAAAGCCTAACAGCTATAACAGGTTAACCCATCAGAGTATAATACATGCAGCAAAGGTCATGGGTTTACCTTTATACACTGATGTATTCGGAAGCAATTTCTCCCAACATTATTTGTCGGAAAAAGAGGATCATCAATGTGTAATGGATCAATGCTGTAACATTATGCAGTTGATCATTAATATATGATAGAGAAGTAACAATTCAAGGAAAAACCACATTTTATGCAGATTTTGAAGCAGGAAAGCAAGAATCACCATTACCTATAACCCCTAACACGGTTGACATAGATTCCACTTCCTTGCACAGATACACGCATTTGGCGAGGATCAAAGACATTCCTGTACAATGAGAGTATTATTTAACAAAGCATATGTCTGTATGCAATGATCAATATTTTCAAAATACAGTGGAAAATTCAGCTGCAACAACCAGCTTTGAACTATTAAATGTTGAAACGGTATCATCAGCTTTGACTCACCCAAAGAAGTAAAGAAAATCCATCAGAAGGCTTCCAAAATTCTGTGGGGGCAAAAATAAATTTCTCATAAGGCTAGAACTTTTTCCATAAAAAATACAATATAGAATAAAATCAGAAAAGGATGACATGAACAAAATTTCTAATATGAGCCCCTAACAACAGCACATCAAGCCACAAGTAATTTTACACAATTAAAAAAATCAACTATCTAACAGAA